CTCTCTCTCTCTCTCTCTCTCTCTCTCTCTCTCTCTCTCTCTCTCTCTCTCTCTCTCTCTCTCTCTCTCTCTCTCTCTCTCTCTCTCTCTCTCTCTTTCGCGATCCTCCTTGCTCCTTTTTTCTTTCTCCGTCCCAAGCGCCCCCCGTAATCATCCTCTTGCGCCAAACGCTAGTGCCTCCAGATGGCATCCGACATGGCCACCACCTGCGCCATCTCGCGCACGTCGTGGACGCGCACAATGTCGGCCCCGCCATGGACGGCGGCGGCCACGGCGGCGGCGGTGCCCCAGGTGCGCGCGGCGGGCTCGCGCACGCCCGTGACGTGGCCCACGAAGCGCTTGCGGCTGGGCCCCACGAGCCAGGGGAGGCCCTCGAGCCCCGGCCAGCGGCGCAGGTCGGCGAGGCCGCGGAGGACCTCGAGGTTCTGCGCCGCCGTCTCCTTGGCGAACCCCAGGCCCGGGTCCAGCACGATGCGCCAGCGCCGCACGCCCGCCACCATGGCCTCGCTGTCCGACTACGGCGCCGGCGCCGGCGCCGTAGTCGGACAGCGAGGCCATGGTGGCGGGCGTGCCGCGCATGTGGGACAGGCAGACGGTGACGCCGAGCCGGGCCGCGGTCGGCAGCATTTCCGGGTCGAGGGCGCCGGCCGAGACGTCGTTGATCATGTCGGCCCCGGCCGCCACCGCGGCCTCGGCAACGGCGGCGCGGTAGGTGTCGACGCTTATCAGCACTCGCTGGCCGCCGGGCGCCCGTGGTGTGGCGCGGATGGCCTCGACCGCGGGCATGACGCGCCCGAGCTCCTCCTCGAGCGTCACCTCGGGTGCCCCTGGGGCGGTGGACTGACCGCCGACGTCGATGATTGTGGCGCCCGCGTCTATATAGCTACGGATCGTCTCTATAAGGGCCGAAGAATCGGTGGGGCTGTGCCGACCGCCGTCAGAGAACGAGTCGGGAGTAAGGTTGAGGATGGCCATGACATGTGTTTTACGCGTGGGGTTTGATGCCAGCAAAGGGGCATGGTCGAGCGACAAGGGCGTCAGGGGTGTTAGCGGTGGCACAGATGGCGGCAATTCGTTGAGGTAGTCCTGGGCCAGCTTCCATGGGCGATCTGGGTTTATGGGCTGGTTCGGGATAAGCCTGCGAGCGATTCCGGGATGAGCATATGGAACATCTGGATGGAATATCTGGACCTCGTCCGCATCGTGTCCAGGAGTGAAATATCAGGGGAAGTAGGGATGGGAGCTCACTCGCTCAAGGGCCGCAGAACAAACTCGCGCTCGGCGATTCCCACGTGGGGAATCTTGAGGCGTTCGTGGTCCACCCTCTCGCCCTCGAAGAGCAACAGGTCCAAGTCGATATTGCGCGGGCCCTTGTCCGTCACCTTTTGCCGACCCATCGAGTTCTCGATTTCTTGCAGTTGATCGAGCAACGCCAGTGGCTTCCAATGTGTCTCAACCTACATGGCACGTCAGATTAAGCAAGCAGGGCACAGGTGTTGGCAAACCGGGTTCTTGTAGTCGTTATAAAATACAGGCAGAAAGGCGGCAGGCAGAACAGACATATGAGCTCAACCGAGCAGCAGCAAGAGCCTACCTCACACACGCCGTTGACGAACATGCCCTGGTCGAGGACGTACATGGGCTCCGTCTCCCAGAGGCTGCTGGTGCGCCGGACGCGAATGCCACGCTTGTCCATCTCCCGACACGCCTGCTCGATCATGGCGACGCGCTGACCCATGTTGCTCCCCAGCGCGACGTATGCCATGCGCCGTCTTTTCAGGTCGGTGCCGCCGCAGCAACCGCCGCCTCTGCTGCTAGAGGGCAGCTCTCCCGCTGCCTTGCCGCCGCCGCCGCCGCCGCCATTGGACAGTGGCGGTGCAGAAGATGCAGGCAGGGTGTGCCTGGTGTACGGGCCGGCATCACGGGTCTGCGCTAGCCCCGAGCACGTGAACAGCCGTCTGCCAGATGGAGACGTTGCAGCAGCAGCCTTGACGGGGCTGAAACTCGGCTGGTTGTGGCCCGCAGACGCAACCGGACACACTGTCCGACATGCTAAGCAGGAAGCGATTCCTAAGAGGGACGGGTGGCGTGCAGACCTCGCCGCCGCGGCTGAAATGAGATTCATCATGTCAAGGACCCATGAGAGGATGTGGCGATGGTATAGTCTTTTTATATGGTAGGCAAGGAAAAAAGAGTTGCTGGCTAACTAGTAATGCGGGCCCGAGGCTGATGGGCTGAGATAATCGAGGCACGTGCCTGGACCCTTGTTGCGGAGACTCCCAAACTCAGCCCCGCGCGAACCCAGCAGTTGGACCCAGCAGTTGGCGGTTCGTTGGCGGTTGAAACTTGACGCCGACGACGTTCCGAGCCGAACCCCGACCTGCTGTTGGGCAAACTGTCCGAGGCATGTCGCACGAGTCCGATGCGATGGCGGGAAAGGGTAGGCAATTTGTCAAAGGGCACCGACCTTGGCTGATTCGATGGCTGGTCGGTCAGGACACACTGGGCCTGTTTTGACAGCCCGATTCAGACGTATCGACGTATCCCGCGAGCCCGCCCAGCAAACCTGAACCTCGGCACCTCCGCAAGCGACCCACCATGAGTGCCCAATCCGGCCTAGCGCCATGATACCCCAGAAACGCCCGGGCATACCCCAGTAACGTCGGCCGGCTTCGCCCAGCACCTCGGCTCCCAGCGGCATGTGCGACCCAGCGAGACAAAACCAGCGCGACTTGCACTTTTCTCGCCTTCACCCTCGAGACATCTGTTTCTACACCTCGTCTTCAACTCCGCCGACGTCTACTTTTTCGAGATTGATTCTCTTGTCCGCATAGCAGCAGCGCCTGTTTTCTGTAGTTCCCACCTCCTTTTCCTGCAACTCCCTAGATACCCATAAGTCGCCGTCACAGCCGTCACAATGGCCTCTCCACGTAAGTCGTCGCAACCCGCACCTCCTTCTCCTCTGCCCGTCGCCTCGCCGATTTGCGCCAGCATGCGACCCCTCGCTAACCCAGCTCTCATCCAACAGAGAAGATCCGCACCCCAATCACTGATCTGCTCAAGATCCAGCACCCCGTCATCCTGGCCGGCATGAACGTCGCCGCGGGCCCCAAGCTGGCCGCCGCCGTCACCAACGCTGGTGGTCTCGGAGTCATCGGCGGCGTCGGCTACACCCCGGACATGCTGCGCGACCAGGTCGCCGAGCTCAAGTCCTTCCTCGTCGACAAGAACGCCCCCTTTGGCGTTGACCTGCTGCTGCCCCAGGTCGGCGGCAACGCGCGCAAGACCAAGTATGCAAAGACATTTCCACCCGCTGCCGGCTAGCCCTGCCTTGTGTGTACGGATGCATGAGTGTGAATGCTGACAGTGAAGCGACAACCCGCCAGCTACGACTACACCAAGGGCAAGCTCGGCGAGCTGATCGACGTCGTCATCGAGTCGGGCGCGCGCGTCTTCGTCTCGGCCGTCGGCGTGCCGCCCAAGGAGGTTGTGGAGCGCCTGCACAAGGCCGGGATCGTGTACATGAACATGATTGGCCACCCCAAGCACGTGGCCAAGTGCGTCGCGCTCGGCGTCGACATCATCGTGGCCCAGGGCAGCGAGGGCGGCGGCCACACGGGCAACGTGCCCACGACGGTGCTGATCCCGGCCGTCGTGGCGGCCTGCAAGGGCCACAAGTCGCCCCTGACGGGCGCGCCCGTCCAGGTCGTGGCCGCCGGCGGCATCCACAACGGCCAGCTCCTGGCCGCCGCCCTCATGATGGGCGCCTCGGCCGTCTGGGTCGGCACCCGCTTCATCCTGACGCACGAGGCCGGCGCGCCCGACTCGCACAAGGACGCCGTCCGCACCGCCTCGTTCGACGACACCATCAAGACGCTCATCTTCACGGGCCGCCCGCTCCGCGTGCGCAAGAACCCCTACATCCTCAACTGGAAGAACGAGCGCGCCGCCGAGCTCAAGGAGCTGACGTCCAAGGGCGTCCTGCCCTACGAGGCCGACCTCGACAAGGTCATGAGCGGCGAGGGCTCCATCCCGGGCGTCGAGTCCACCACCCAGGCCGCCGCCGCCGCCGGTGGAGACAAGCCAAAGGTCGAGTCCGAGGAGGACGTCGACATTGACGAGCTCATGGACCAGTTCAGGCCTTTCCTGATGGGCAAGTGCGCCGCCGTCTGCAACGAGGACAAGTCGGCAAAGGAGGTCGTCGACGAGTTTGTCAACGACGCCGCCGAGGTCCTGGCACAGGGTGCCGGGTACGTCAAGGCTGCTGCTGCCAAGCTGTAAATTAGACTGCTTCTCTTGTTTTCTTTCCCTTGTACCTTGGATTATATGACGAGCATCTTCTTTTTGTCTCAACACTCGGCTTGATTTTGCATCCGTCACCGCTGTCAGAGTTCTCATGTCAGCCATCTGTCTGGTGTTTGGATAATTGATAAAATCGACTTGTTTCTGTTATTTCCCAGCGTCTTCACTTGGTCGTATACTCAAAAGCGCACGTAGCATCATGTTCTCTATCCGTCTAGACACGCCGAGCTTGTGTCCAACTTTTTCCATAGTTCTCCATCCACACACACACACACACACACACACACATCTGCGCACTGTAATCCTCCGGATCCACGAGAAAACAAATCAAGACGGTAGACCAAGACATGCAGCAGAAATGAGCATCAAATAGACGCCAACATCAGCACCAACCAGCCGGTGTTATCATCTGAGAGGGTCTAGTCCGGCTCGCCCTGCACCTCGTCCTTCATTAAAAACAAAACCCATCATAAAAAATATGACAAATTTCCCTTCGCCCCCAGGCCCCATGAGAATGCGCATCTACCATCTCACAAAATACAAAAAAAGCCCACGCTTCTGCCGCCTGTTCATTTCATTGCTTCTCGTCTAATCATGGCACAGCAAGGCACTAGCTTCCCAGATAGCTGCGGATAGCGCCCTGTAGCTTAGAGGCACCTTCACCAAGGCTAGACGTGAGGGCCTCGAGGTCGTCGCCGGCCGTAATGCCGAACTTACGGATAAAGTCCTTGGCCGCCGTCTCGAGGTCGCCGTACTCCTCGCCCGTCTCCTCCTCCTCGGCCCGGCCAAAGTAGGCGTTGGACGAGATGGCCGAGGCCCCCTCGAATCCTTGCAACCGTGTCTTAGCCTCGGCCTGCGCGTTCGGGTCAAAGGATCCCTTGCCAAAGAACTCGTCCGAGGAGATGGCCTTTTGCGCGCCGAACTTGCTGCGCGCGTACTTCTCCTCGTCGGCTGTGGTCAACATGATGAGTGGGTCAGCAAATCTACCTCGACCGCAAGACAGCTTCCATGACCGCGTGCAGCGAATCCGACAACCAAGGGCCTGGTAGCAAACTTACCCTCCGGGGCCGCCTTGATGGGGCCGACTGAGCCAAAGCCACCAGTGCCAGCCCTCTTCGCCTGGGCCGCGGGCTTGTTTCCGCCAATCTGGCCGAAGCCAAGCCTGCCCATACCCATTCCCAGCCTCTCCATCTCCGAAGCCGACTTCTCGCGGCTGTGCGAGGCCGACGAGCCGTAGCCGCTGCGCGAAGGAGCCACGGGCGTTGGCTGCAGGATGCCCCCGGCGCCCGAGTCGGCCTTGGTGCCCTTCTTGGTCGCGGCAGAGGAGTCGTCGTCCTCGTTGGGGTCGTATCCTAGCTTCTCGATGCGCTCCGCCTCCTCTTTGGCTTTCTTCTCAGCCTCGTCGAAGTCGATGATGTCGGCCGTGACCTTCTTGGCGCCGAGCTTGCTCGTCACCTTCTTTGCGCCCAGGACGTTGGCCTTCTTGGCGCCGCCCGCGCCTGTCTTCTTGAGCGCCGATGAGTGCGTGATACGGCTGGCAGGGGCCGGCTTCGTGGCGCCGTCAGCCGACTCGGATTTGGCCAGAGGTGACGTCGAGCGCGCGATGTCCTTGCCGGCGCCTCCGGCGCTGAGGAACGGGGACGGCGTGCGGCCGACAACCGGGGGCGTTCCGGTCCGTGAGACAGGCGGTGTCGGCTTCTTGATAGCGGGCTTATCCCACGAGGAGAAGAAGTCGTCTTCGGGCTCGCCGGCGGGGGTGTTGGAGTCGCCGACCTCGATGCCGTCGGTGATGACCACCTCTTCCGGATATCTGGAGTGGCGCCTGGGTTAGCAGCCGTACGTAGCAAGGGGAACAAACGGGACTTGGGGATGGCCATGCAGCCGTTGCGCAGGGTTCGGTGCACTAACTCTTTGGCATCCCTTGCTGCCCGCTTCTTAAGCTCCTCCTTGTACTTGGCGGCAACAGGCGAGTGATATTTCGTCTTGGGGTCTTTGCTGTTCAGCGCTGCGGAGCCGCCGTTTTGTTGGAAGAACTTGGTGGCCGACTCGTTGCCGCCGACCTTCATGACGCGGAGCTGGTCCCATTGCCATTCTGTCACACGTGGCAAGGCCAGGTCAGCAAGGTCCAGTCCCTAGGTCATGTCCGTTGGCGCGCTGCGAGCGCCGGTAAAGCGCGCCGATTCGTATCCTCCGGGGACGGACTCACGGTCAAGGTTGGTGGAGCGCACAAACGAGATGTGCACGCCCAGGTTGCGGTGGTTTGAGGAGCAGTCGAGGCACAGGTAGATGCCGAACGGGACCGACGTCCAGGTCGGGTTGTTCTGGCCGCAGTCAAAGCATGTCTGCGCCGGGGGAGGACAGAGGACACACTGTGGTGAGCGACAGACAGGCCAGGGAAGGCATGTGGAGGACGGTGAAGGCGCGCTTGGCGGGGCGGCTCACCTTGTTCGGCTTCTTCTTCTTGAGCTGCTCAAAGATCTTCAGCGACTCCTGCTTGCTCGCGAGCGGGGCGCTCATGGTTACCGTGGCTGGGGCGCAAGCCTGGGCGCTCGTGATGGAGGGGATGGGGGTGTCTTGGTATCCTGCGTGTTGCTCAAAGGCGAAGGGCTGGTTCTGGTGTCGAGATGCGGTTGGGATTCTTGAGGTTGCTGCGTTCGGCCACATTTTCATTTCGTTAGGTAAGCCAGCGCGCTGTTCGCCGCAAGGCAAGGAAGGCCAGGGGGGTGCCTGCGTTTAGGGATTGCTGGGGCTAAGCCAATTGCGTACTAGCGCCCGGCGGCTCGAACCCCACTGTTTGTTCCGCTCAAGCTTGCGCAAACAGCCAGAGCTTGAACCCGCCCGCCATCGGTTGGTTGAGCTTCTGTTTCCAACGCTTGCGCAGGCCTGACATGTTCATGGCCATCGCCCCAGGCTGAACGAGGTTGCCCAAATTGCACCAGCGACCAATTAACTACACAAAGCGCCCGAGAAGCGACAGCTCCCCCGGCCCGTGAAGAAGGTCCTCCCCCCACCCCCCGACGACCCCCGCCGCCAGCCGAGATGAAGATTCACAGCGCCGCCGCCGGCCTCATTCCGCGCCGCGTCGTCCTGAGCCCGCAACCTTGCCAGCTCGCCTCCCTTGCCGCCCCGCGCACGTTCGCCACCCAGCCGGCCCTCGCCAGCAGCTCTGCTCCCTCCTCTGGGCCCAAGAGGAGGGCTGTCACGCCTTTCAACGACGATGGCCGCGTCCCCTGGACCCAGCTCTCGGGCGCCGAGAAGACGGCGCGGGCAGCCCAGCAGACACTCAATCTTGGTCTTATGGCCGTGGGCTTTGTACTTACTGTATGCTGTCTGCCCATCAGATCTAGCATTCATGGATGCCAAGCTCCTTTCCGCACACCACGGCTGACGCATATTCCTATGGCAGGGCGGCGTCGCCTACTTCCTTTACTCCGAGGTCTTCTCCCCCGACAGCAAAGTCGCCTTCTATAACCGAGCCGTAGACAGGATCCGGAAAGACCCCCGCTGCATCGAGCTGCTAGGCGAAGGCCGAAGCATCTCGGCGCATGGCGAACAAACGACCAACAAGTGGAGAAGTGCGAGACCCATTGCGTAGGTCACTGGCGTGCTTCACCCCCCTCTTCCGGGACCAAGGCGTCAAGACCTTTTCTGGCCCGGCTGGGAGTCCACGCTGACTTGTTCATGTCGCCATCTCCAGTTCCCAGACGAGCCTGGATCCCCAGGGCAATGAGCACCTGCGTGTCCATTTTTTCGTTGAAGGGCCCAAGGGACAGGGCACAGCCAACATGCACATGGTGAGGTACCACGGTCAAGAAGACTTTGAATACAAGTACTTCTTCGTGGATGTGGCCGGTCACGAGAGGATATATCTCGAGGGTGGCAGTTCGTGGGGCTCGAGCGGGCCAAGCAAGCGAGGTAGGCTCTTCGGAATCAACTGGTCATGAGATTAGGAGTCGACGAGTGTCACTATGGCCAGCTAGGCCACGCACGGGTGGCTCACAGCAACCCTCGGGCTATGCGGATGAATGACACGAGCTCAGTCTCCAAGTTGCAAGCTCGAGGCGCACGCCGTTAGCAAGCCCCGGGCTGAAAACGGCCCTTGGACCTGCAGCTTGATATGGTGGTGCCAAGCCGGGATAGCAAGCCCCATGACTTTTTATTGTCTCAGGCGACGAGCTATCTCGACTGGCGAAAGTATGTATGATATCAGGGATTTGGCGCATGGTTCAACATTTGTTTGTATGATATAGATAAGAGCTCCGAGACCAGGACGGCTTCAAAATTGTATCATATAAGGCCTGGCAAGCACCTCTTGGTTCCCTCAAGCGCATTACATGTTGGCGTGATGTTTCGGTACGAAAGCCAGGAGGCACCGGTTTCCCCTCTCCAACTTTTCCCATCAGCTGGAAAGTTTACAAGATCATGTAAGTGCCGGAGCCGGACATTAGAGACGCGGCACAATGCAGTAAAAAGCAAGAAAACTCACCGAGCCGCTCTGAACCAGTGACTGAAATCACAATAGCAAAGTTAGTAAAGGCGCATGCAGCCATTGAGCACCCAAGCCTTGGCTGCTGGCGTCCAGGAAACAAGGCTTTTTGCACGTTCTTGGCAGCTTAAAGCGTTAGCAGACATAGCCACCCTCGCTACCATGACGCCTCGAGGATGAAGAAGCCCCAAAAGTTCGAGAGCTCTTTTTCTCAGGAAGCTTCTCGGGCACATCCGAGCTAGGGACAAGCTCTCTCCGGCGCGTAGTTTCTGTCTTGGGGAAGATGCCGCCGCTGCGACGGCAAAGTACAATTTCCGCTTTCAATCGACCATCTCGACCCCTTATTACCGTCCACGAGAGCATTGCGACTATTGCGAGGTAAGCAACTACCAACTGCTCAGTCACTCTCTGCGCCCACATAACTACCACCTTCTTTATAGGCATATCCTTTGGCGATGCTATGGATAGTTGTCCGACGGGTAGTGGTAGTAGGGGCAACGCTTAGTTACTCGATTGGTTAATCATGGCAGTCACATTCCCGCAATGAGGAATTGAGACCAAAACCTACAATGCGGTTCCTCATCATTAGCCTGTCCCCATCTCGGCTGAAGGCGTATCTCGGATGTTAGGTTTGCAAGCAAGGGAGCTATATCGGACTTATGCTAAAGCATGCTAAGGACCCAGGAGCATGACGTGATGGACGTGTGTTTAAATTTGGCCTTAGGATGCCCTCCGGAATGCCCACCAAAGTGCCCCACGCGGCGGCCCTCCAAAGTGCCTTTAGGATTAATTTATTTAAGAGCTGGGGACGTAGTATATGCTGTTGCAGGCAAAAATTTAGCATGCAGAAGGAGGAGTTCCATCAAAGTCGGAAAATCCTCGCACAAATAAAAAGGCCGAATGCTGCAGCCTCGTTGCTTTTACCTAAACAGAAAATACAAGCCCGCGCAAAGCTGCCACCGGTTCTAACCCGACCCCCAAATCCCCGGCCAGCCAAAAGACATGCTAGTTGCCAGCGGCATCCGGCGGCCTCCTCCCAAAGGCTGATGAATTTTGGGCGCCATCAGCGGCCGCCTCATCCCGCTTCGGCTCCTCCTCGTCGCGTGCCTTGCTGACCAGGCGGCACGATGCCGAGTCCATCCGCCCATCCATCCTCACGAACCGCCTTTCCCTCGCCCCCCCCTTTAGAAAAAGGGGAAAGCGGCCGCGAGCGGGCGACGAGCTCGTCGCTATGGTGCCATTCCGCCCCCGGCATCGACCCATTTTGCGCTCGACTCAGCCCCACGCGTCCTCCCTCCCTCCCCGGGGGGTGTGGTGGCCGCCCCCCCACCCCTCCTCTCAGCTCGGCAGCTTTGGCCTGCCCATCGGTTGCGGAGAAGGGCTGCGGGCGCACGCCACAACCCCCTCGAGTTGGTCTCCTCTCTCTCTCCCCCCGGAGCAGAGCTCCCGTGGGGTCGGCGGCGGCGGGGAGACAGGTAACGACCTCGAACCAGCCGCCGGCTGATACGTAACTGTGCTAGGCTAGGATGCCGAGATGTGTGCAGGCTGGAATATGCCATGGCCACCCACCCTGCATCATTTTCACAGCGGGGGCCTGGGCCAAGTACAAGGCTCTCCTGCATATGCACGGCTTGGCCATGCTTTGTCCGGCTCTTGCCTGTGCTGGTATCAAGCATATCGATCTCGATGGCCTCGATATCTGCCGTCCCCGGCCGGACCTGAGCCCATTTCCACCCACCACCCCGCCCTCTTCCAAGCCGTCTGTCTCCAAGGGTAGGTCATGTCGATAACCTTCCTCATTTGTTCACTTTGCCATCCAGAGCCGGACACGGCATCCTCCTCCATGGCAGGGCACGCCTTTGGTCAGACAGTCAAGCTCTTATAGCCCACCCTCCATCGCCTACGAGCCGAGAGTCGATAATACCGGCCGGCCGCCGAGAGGCACACACCCTCCCAGAGGTAGAGGAACCCTGGCGGTATAGCTGGCCTCTCCTATGCCTCTCCTTCCCGGACAATCGTGCGATCCGGCCGCCATTGGTGGTTGTTTGTCGTTCGACGTTTGAACGCTGCAGAGAGCACCTACCTACCTCTTCCCCCCCCTCATCGGCAGCTCCACGGCAGCTCATGGAATCGAGATGCATGTCACGGCTTATACAGTGCCTCATCTAACTAACGGGCTTCTTCCCCGGTACCTACCTACCGCTAGCCAAAATAGCCGTACGCATGTATGCAACATGAGGAAAACCTCGAGAGCCCGGAACAACGAACAGCTGGGCAATAGCCCTGACCAAGCCCAATAATAATAACGATTGCCAGATTCTGATGCGATTGGGCTGTGTGCTGATGCTGCCCCCCCCCAGGCCCCCCCCACAGCCCGTGCAGAAGCTGCACCCCGAGACGAGCGCCGCCGAAATGAAAGGTGGGTTGCCAAAAGCTCCCTGGCCCCAAGACCGCCACGACGCCCTCCCTCCCTCCCTCCTCCTCCTCCACCTCCTCCTCCACTCTCTCCTCTCCCCATCTTCCTTCTCCCCCCACGCCCGGACGCTCCGCTCCAATGCCATGCACCCGTCAGGGCACGGTTTCTGAAAAAAACACCCATCTCCGGCCTCTCTTGCCCTTCCCTCCACCAACCCCCTGGCACACGCCGGGTGGGGACCTGCGTGGGATTTCAGGGGACCAGTCCGTGGCACGAAAAAAAGCAGGGGGTGCGGCTAAATACCCGTCCGCAAACGACAAGAAAAAAAAAAAGAAAAAAAAAGAAAAAAAAAAAAGAAAGAAAACGTCGGGCGCCGGCTAAAGTTGAGAAGAGGATGCACATTGACCGAATTCGGGGCTTAGCCTAGATAAAGCAATGTGGAGGTTATCAGCTGTCAAAGAGGTATCTACATGTAGGTAGTACTTGCCTAGAGGCACATACACATGCAGGCAGCTAGCCGCCTCTGGTACGACGCTCCAAACAGACGCGATTGGGCCGCGTGCACTTGCTCACACCACAGGGGGGGGGGGGGCCCGCGGGGACGTGGAGGTGTTTTGATATAGCCCATGCGGCGCAAAACCAAGATATTGTACAACCCGCCTGTCCGCTCGCCTTCAGAGACAACTGAGACGGGGACTTGGGCGCGCAAAGCGCAAAATGGGCTCCCCCACCATTCGCAACACCACTCCCACACCCTCGCGGCCGAAATGGTCCGACGTCTACGCGACTGATGGCTAAGCCGGCCCGTGGTGATGCTCACACCCGCCGAGTCCTCGTATCCTCTTCTCTTTTCCTCCTTCTTCCTCCTCCTCGGTCCCACCCAGTCGAGCCAAAGAAACACGACCATCACCTTCGAAGCTCCCGGCATCCAGCGCTCTCTCGCCCTAACACGGCAGTGGGAACGCCGAGATACCCATGTAACTACCTGGCACGCCCACCACAGAAGAAAAGATGGCAGTCTTGGTCTTTTTGTTGTATAGGTGGAACTGCAATCTTTTCTGTTGTGGGCGTGCCCAGGTACATCCGCGACAGTACCCAGGTATTCGACCCCCCGGGGAGGCGCATTGGATCTGCAAAAAGAGCCGGGTGGACGCAACATTGCAATGCTTGTCCTACGCGGGCCAGTGTGCCGACGCGGGCCAGACGAGCAGCCCTCCGATTAATCACCTTCAGGTCGCTGCTACCTACTGCGCATGGCCTGAGGTCCGCTAGGCGTCAGGCCATCGCAGCCGCCTCTCTAGTGGAGTATATACCGATGGCCAAGCCTTGATTCGTTTGTTGATAATCATAAAGTAAGCGCTCGTCTGCGAGAAGATTGTCTCGGGGCCCAGAGGAAGCTCCTAGTTCCGTGATGGGGAACGCAAAGCCTACCTTGGACACGAAGGAGGAAGAAGAGGGAAAATACCACGTCTCACTGACAATTCCCAGGGGCGTGGCCGTAGCGAGCATGCCCCTAGAACAACACGCAAGAACATTCGCCCCTGCAAGGCGAGTCACAGAAAAGAAAAAAGAGCCATCCAGTGGGTCGGCCCCGCACCCCGTACCGTGGGTACTGGGTGGCGGTAGCGGTCGTGGGCCAGGAGAAGCCCGGCATTGGGGCTGTTACCTTTGAAGCCCACATCCCCAAGAAAAAAAAGAGAGAGAAAAAAAAAACCAAGCTTTTTGTAGAACTTGGCCTCGCTGCCGGAAATAACGCGGCGAGACAACTTGATTAGGTCGTCGACGATATGCCCATGCTCAAACTCTGACCCCGAGGCAAGTGGGCCGTCGAACCTAGTCGCTCCGGGATGTGTCCGACATGGCACCGAACAAAAACATTACCAAACGTCCTAACTTCCGGGGCCCCGTTCGTCGGTGGACGCGAGTGAATAAACGAATAGCCCAAATCAAAATCCCATGTTCTGGTGTGATTTCGAATCCATCTTTGCTGTCCACCCGGCAGCGGTGAGAGGGATGAAAAATTTCCCCCAAGAGTGGGCCAACGGGAAGAAGACGAAGAAAGGAAGACGAAGAAAAAAGGGCCTCTGAAGGAGGGCCCCCGTCTTGCATGAAGCCATCCCGCCCTGGAAATCGTACTGTGTGTGCCGTGCGGCCGTGGATCGTAGGGCGCTGCAACAGCGATGGATCCCTGACCCACGGCGGAGCGGGAAGGGGCATTAAGAAAACCTCCGCGAGGCAAGCAGGATAAGGGCCGAAAAGAAGGGAAATTTCGGACTGCAGAAGAGCAAAGGAGTAAAAATCGACATAGACCATGTGGGGCAACGCACAGTACATACTACTAACAGTAGTAGGAGCAAGTGGTTGGTAAGCCTCGCGTCTGGAACCGCCCATGCATGCGATTCGCCGCCCGAGATTCGTCACCGGTGGGTGTGGCTGCCGGCATTGGCAACGGCTTCCTCCGTCTCGTCCTCCTCGGTCTCCTTGGCCACCGGCTCGCCTTGCCCGTCGCTGTCGTCTCCCTCGCCCTCGGAATCGTCCGGGTCCTGGCCAAGCAGGATGTCCTCGCTTCCCTGCCACTGCGGCGGCATTGGTGGGAGCGACGTGGCATCATCGTCTTGCCAGCCGTAGTCTTCATCGTCGCCGTCATCGTCGCTGTCCGCAATCTCCACCTCTCCATCGCCACGCCGGCGCTTGGGCTGAGCAGCAAACGTCAACGATGCCGTGTCTTGCGCGCTGCCGTGGTCGAGTGTTACAGGTATCAACCCGGCCTGTACACACACACACACACACACACACACACACCGTGTGCAGTCCTTCTGGTTAGCTCCATGAGCACCCAGCACAGCGTAGCAGTACCGGCAGGGCCAAGCAAAAGCAGGCCACCAAGACCAGCAATGGGGCAAAGGCGGGCTGGAAACATACGGTTCCAATATCAAAGGCGGCCAGCCGGACGTCCTCGTCCTCCACTCTCTTGCCGTTGATTTTCAGGGCAGCGGCGAAGCGGGCAGCTGTCGCGGTGCCGTTCTGCATGGACCAGTCCCTGAAGAGGACCACGCGTGTGGAGACGCCCTCCTCCCACGCGCTGGCGTTAACGGCGGGGATGAGGGAGGCGGCCCCCCGCTCGCTAATACCGGCCTGCATTCGGGTGACACATTGGCTCAGGACGACAACGGCAAGATTGCGGGTCGCCGCAAGCTTCTGCAACGCCCCGGCCACATACTGTAGAGTTTGCTGTCGCTTGGCAGCCTGCGACGGAACTAGACATGGTGAACAACAAGACGAACAAGATGGAATACGAGGGTCAGTCTCGGCTCTGTGTCTAGCCATCTCGCATCGGATCGAGTTTTTTCGTGCGCCAGTGCAGGATACCCGGGGAGGGTTGAGGGGCAGGAATCGAGGCTGGCCGGGCTGGCGCCCATGGGGACAGTGGGTCATCACCTTTGGTGCCGTTCTTGAGTGTGATAGGCTTCGAGTCTGCGATCCTCGGGAAGGCATGGTTGACCAGTATCGACAGAGAGTCGACAACAACCAGCGACGTGTTGTGTGGGATGCACCCTACCCTCGGCCTGCAGAGCAGGGCGATGAGATGGGGGAGGGTCGGACACGTGTAGTGGACGAAATTATCGTCCAGCCTCGTGCCGCCGTCACCGATCTCGTCTGCGCTGGCGGCCACGTTCAATCTCGGAGGGCACACTTTATTGAAGGCATCTAGTTCGGCGCAAAGCCCCTAGTCGTCAGCACCCGAAGTGAACAGACGCTCCTTTCGTGTCCAAGGCGGGAAGGGCGAGGTGATCAAACCGACCTACCCACACCACTGCCCGTCCTTCACGGAGGACGTTTGAGGCGAGGTGCAGCCTTGGGAGTAGAAAACAAAGTCAAAGGGGGTGGTCTTGGTCTTAGCAGCTGACGCATTCCCAATCTTGAGCGTGGGGGTAACAGCGAAAAGGGGGGGAGGGAAGAATATGCGCAAATGGAACGAGAATGCAGTGCCCCTTCCCGAGCCTCCACACCCACCGCCGCCACCCCCATGTCCGGGTGGCTTTGCGGAGGAGAGTCGGCGAAAGGCTCGCAATTGAACTCACCCAAGCGATGTCTTGCCAACCCCAGGCGGCCCCCATATCTCGGTTACGATGCCCCTCCGCACGCCACCCCCAACTGACGCTGTGGCGGCCGGTGTGCGACCGCCATGGTCGTCGTCGTCGTCGTCGTCGCCGCCGCCGCCGCCGCCGCCGCCGCCGTCACCGGGGGCCGCGGAAAGCTGCGCGTCCAAGGCGTCAAGACCCGTGGATACGAACCGCGAGGGGTCACAGCTTAGATCCGCATGCGCCTGTGCGGCTGAGACTGTCGGTAGCCGATCTGGGCATTTGGCAGCATCCGGTTTAGCGTTTGGGCATGCGAGAAGGGGGGGCGTGGGCTACTGCTGCGACTGCAGATGCCGCCAGACCATACCAGAAGATATAATCAAACAAGGAGAGAGTGAAAACTTACGCGTCGAGGGCAGGTCGAAGCTGGACACATCACGCCCGTGGACCGAGTAGTAGAGGTCCATTCTCGCTTTCGGCTGTTGCGATGCCAGGCAGCGCCGTGCGTCGGACCTCTTTCTGGCAGCGTATTCCCGAGCCTGGTTTGCAGCCCCAAGAAGAGCCCAGGGCCGATTCCAAGAGTGTGGTTGGTGGTTGGTGGGTGCCTGGGTGCCTGGGTGCCCTTTCGCTGGCTCCTGCCGGTCCCGTCTGCGAGGTGCTGGTGGTGGAAGACGGCAATGCTTCCATCACGTGACGGCAACTCCCAACCGCCTGGATTGTGCCTGCCCCGCGGCGTCCCAGCCGAACCCGCGTGCCTGCCAATCCCGCAAAGCGGCAGGCAGAGATGACGGTTGGCTCATGACATGGCGTTTGCTTCTCTCTCTCTCCTCATGACATGGCGTTTGCTTCTCCCTCTCTCCATGTCAGAAACATCCGACCCCAAAAGTCAAAATATTTGGCATCCTGGGCGGCGGCGGCCGGAGCCGGGAGATTTTGCCCGAGGCCGCAACAGGGGCCTTCGTTCATGCAGCTCCCACCTAACGAAGCCGCCATGACAAGTTCACGACCGCTTCACTTCTTCACTGTGCTCGGCCTCGCCCAAGTGGCCTTGACCCTTGACGTGGCAGGCAACCCGAACCTCTCTGTCCTCACTCCCAGGCACCACCATGAGTAGCTTCGGCAGACGCACCGCAACCCCCATGGCCGGAACCCCACGGCGCAGGGGGCCTGATCGCCAACCGGATGAGCAGCAAAGACCCGGCAACACAACTTGGCGGTTTTGGCGGGACGCGATTCTTACCCCAACAATCACATTCAGACTACCATCCATGTACCGCAGAAGGGGCAGGGACCATCCCCGCACAGGGTAGCTTGACCCGGGTCTTGGACCCGGCAGATTTTTGTACTGTAATTTATTCCACTTCCTTCAACTTGCCCTCTTGGTTTCATGCTGTCAAACGTTTCGCCCCAACCTGGATCCTTGGCCTGCCTGAGGAAAGAAAATGTGGGGGTTTCGCGCTATCACACAGACACACACACACACACACACACACACTTTACTAGTGCAATCCCGCAGGAACAAAACAACATACGAGACAAACTCACGGCCACGTTCCGCACGCCCTTTGAATAGCAAAGGATTCACAAGGAATGTTGGCGATGCCAGTGAGGTAACAGCATAGGGTAGCAGTAGAGAGGCGGTCAGGATAAGTATAGGGGAAAAAAACAATTACAGGCGGGCGTGCGACTCGGTGGGCTCAGGCACCCGACGATGGTGATTCACCACTTTTTCACCACGACTTGGACGATCGCCATCAAACCGATGCGTCACAGAACCTGGCTGGAGATTGGCCATATGTGCCCAAGAAACCTACGTGGCGACACGGCGCAGAACGAGGCTTGCGGCCGGGCGGGCGCCGCTGAGCTGGCAAGCGGCAGCAGAATCTGCACGACGTGACGAAAAGGGAAATGGCAAGAAGCAAGGGGCGGTCGCGGATTGTTTTTTTTACTTCCTGTTTTCTTTTTGCTGAGGGGCGTGCGCGAGAGAGACGGGTCGAAGCACACAGTCGGACGAAAGCAGAGAAAAAAATGCGCTGTGCAAATAAAAGAGGCAAAGCAAGGGAATCTAAATTGTATGATTGGTTTATCTTCTCCGCGTTCCCCGCGCTTGGCGTGGCGCGGTCCATCGCCCTGACTCTTCTCTCTCCCTCTGATTGTCGTTTCCCCTTTTTTTTTCGCTGGGATTGGGTCCCCGTGCTTGGTCGTGTAGCGATTCGCGCGGCCTCGGGGACCTAAAGTTCGTTTGCCCTTGGGCGCCTCAGGCACTGGAGCGGAGGAATGGCGCCGCTCAGGGGTATTCGCGGGAGGGATACGAGTTGTGTCTTCCGTTCCCCCTCGCCGCGGTCCCCGGAAGCGAGAGTGCTCGAGCCGATTTGCTGGGCAATCAATCTTGCTCACGCAGGGGCAAAACAGCACCAGTCGCTCACCGAGAGAACCTTTTGAGTTACGCAAACGCCATCCCTGCAAGGGGCGTGGCAGCTGCTTCGAGCGACGACAGCATTGGCAAAGATGTGTGTCTGTGTGTGTATGTGCAGCAGAGCCCGCGGTCTAGAACCACAACCACCTTTTGTGTTGTCTGTCAGTATTCCATTCCACACCCGCAACTGACTGGGTCAGGATGGTACCTGCCACCCAAGTTGCTCGAGAGTTGAGCTCGAGCTGCGAAAAACGCGAAATGATGCGCGCTCGGCTCTGGGGGAGAGTCGGGCCACCCTGATAGCCTCCCCCCGGGAGCCCAGCCGAAACCCGACCCGATTTCCCCCCCTGCCTCCCGCTCCTTGCACCCCAGCTGCCCTTCCCTCGTCGCCCCAGCTTTTCCCCCACCAACTTTCAGTCTTCCTTTTTAGCGACTCTTCCAAATCTTCCCATCCCCCTGTGCTCGTCTCCCCTCGAAGCTCTTCTCCCTGACCCTAGCCCTTTGACCTGACCACTTTTTCCCTTGTGGTCCAGCAAGGGGGCCGTCCGCGCACACCCCCCTCCCCTCCCCGTGACAAAGACCCCCGCGCCTATCCGGATTTGGAAAGTTTATCCCATTGGAGTCTGGGGGCCCGTGGTATTTTAATGTTGTATTTTGTCGCCCTCCATTTGTCTCCTACTCAGTGACCTGGGGGATCCGTCGGGAATGAAGCCAAGCTCCTGTCGCAAGGGAGTAAAAGCCGGGGTGGCGGGTATGGAGGCGGAGAGCCCGTGGGAAAGGGGCTGAAGGGCGGGTAATGGGAAAGGGCAATTGGCAATTGGCAGACCGTGACGGTGGCTCCTTTGCCCGGGGCCACCATTGTGGGCTAAAAGGGTTGGTTGGTTATCCCTTTGCTAGCCTTTGAGGTGACGAAAAAAAAACATGCGAAAGCGCGTTTTATCGCCCCGGTTTCCCGGCGGTTCCTGCAGTTTGCCCAGCGATGCGCCGAGTTTCCACCGCGGGCGCTGACATCACGCACATCCCATCCCGCCCACGCCCAGCCATGGGAAATCTCAAAAAGTCTGGTCATGCTCCACCGGATCCCGGGTTCCCGTAACGTCGCGCGCTCTTTTGTCGCGCGCCAAATGCCGCCGCCCCCAGAAACATCACAGGCGGACAGACAGCCTGTGGCCTCAGATTTAAAACAGTTGTGGAGAAAACCAGCCTGATCGGTCAGCGTTCCGCCCACGATTTCTCGGGCTAAAGGGACACGACAATCTTCCCATCCACGGCTACCAACTAGGTAGTACATGCCTGGTCCTCCGCCCGCTCGAGGTTGCGTTGGAATGTCATGGCCCGGCGGCAAAGATGACGAGGACGCATTTCCCTTCATTTATTTGCTCTTGCGTACGAAAAGTAAAAGCATGTGCCAAACCGCATGGAGAAATGGCGAAAGCGCTTTTTTTCCCCCGACGAGGCGCCCACAAAAAATGGCACAACTCTTCTCTACGAGGGACCCCCCTGTCCGGTCAGAGTCGGGACGACCAAGGGCTTGGAAGAGTGTATAGCCGGACCAACCAGGCGAGCCGGGGCCACCTCCGGCCTCGGGGAAAGTCGGCATTGTGGATAGGCTTGTTGGCGTTGAAACCCGGGGGAAATCGACACACAAACACACACCTCTCTCTCACGCACGTGTCTCCACTGGCGAGGCCACCGTGGTCAAGCTCCAAGGGGAAGGAGCGGAGGTTCTACTCCAGCATTAGGACACGGCAGCGGAGCTTTCAGCGATAAGAAGATGGGACAAAACTATGTACACGCCCAAAATACCAATGAGGTAGGTGCACAAGCACCTGCCCAAGTTCACAAGTAGACGCCCTGGATAGCGTGGCTCGGTGAGGAATGGATCCCTGGCCTTGGCGTTTGGGGTGAAGCGTCCGGCCCTCAATCTATTTCGCTTTTTTTTTTTTTTTTTTTTTTTTTTTTTTTTTTTCCCTCTGCTGTTGTGGCTTTTCTGGGGTATCCGCATTTTCACATGCTCGTCATTTTGTCGTCGGCGCGTATTCAATACCAGACATACGGAATGTCTTCAAGCCTCTGCCCTGCCCGCTGATTAGCTTGTCTCCCGCCGTGTCTGTCTGTCTGTTGTCTGTAGGGGCTGAGACGGTGGGGAAGGTCTGTGTCTCTCCCTGAGATTCTGCACAACTAATGCCAAAGGGTGGGTATATGTGTGTGTGTGCGGCCTGCCTGGTAACCGCATCTGGGCGCATAAAAGTCGGGCGGCCGGCATCAATCACAGGCGTGGGTGACGGGTCACAGGGATCCTGAAGATCATGGGAATGCAGGCGCAATCCCATGCCCATGCCCATGCCATGCCCTCTCTAGCCCAGCCATTTGACCCAGAGCCGACGGGTGGACCGCTAGAATCTCGGCTGAAAAGGGGGGAGGGAAAAAAACCGAACACTTTTCAATTTTTGCCCCAGTGCATACCACCGCAAAAATTGAAAAGTGTTCCGTTTTTTTTTTGATCCGGGCGTGCTAACCTAGGCATTGCATCCCAGCCTCGGATCTTCAACGAGATAAGAAACAAAAAAATGCCCGTATCAGCCGACGAACCGTCGCATCCTCTCCGTTCGGCCAAGCGTTTTTTTTTTTTTTTTTCTCCTTCTTCTTCGAGTTTGGGCTAGCCGTGGCAATTACAACAGCAAAGTATTGGATCTTTGTGAAGTTCGCCTGGCTGGAAACCTGCTGCTGCCATGCCTTTGCCCCCCACCCGCAAACCCCAGAACTGACTCGCCAGCCCAGGCTCGGGATGCCGCACGGCATGATGCCTTGCGAGAATGGGAACATGGGCCACCTACACTACCGTGCGGGCTTGCTCTACCGTCCTCCAGCTTTCTCGTTTGTT